CCTATTTTGCATGTATACATTTTTTGGGATGTGTTAATTACATATTAACTATACATATTAAGGGCCGCACCATGGCATGTCATCACTTTATATATTCCTCTTTCCCTCGCAGTGAGGGCCACACATTGCTGTTTGCACGTATACTCTTCTTCTGGATTTGTGCTTCCTGTATCTGAGGGTAAACAGCGATTCTAGGGGTATGTATTGCGCTAAGGAAGAGAGTTGCCACAAGGGGTTAGCCCCCGTTCTTCAGCGTGCCCTAAATACTGACCACGCTACACTAAATGATATTTTCCGCCTGTCCATATATATACATATATATATACTTCCATAAGAAAGATAGTCTCTGTAATGACACTCCCGACTGTTATGATAATAACTGAAAACTCAATAAAGGCAATACCATCATCATTTAGTGTTAGGGGGCCTACACCGTGTGTGGGGTGTGCTCAGGACTGCTAGTTCCGTATCCTGAAAAGTAGTAAACATAATGAGAAAGGGGAGACATACCTGGCACTCAAGGACATTATGTACTCACGATAGCGAGGAATTTATGTGTCGTGGGATGTGACAGTTTTGCAAGAATTGATACGTGAGGAACCGATGAAGGTGGATAAAGTAGACTGAACCTAGTCGGAGAAGGAATTGCCAGTGACGCTCTTTGGGTAATATCCGCGGCTGGGGGATTGGAGGGAGGAAACCTTCAATCTGTGCGTACAATATCAGGAGATTGAATAGTTCGGGCGATAACTATACGTTCAGAATCTGTACTTATTTTACACTTATATTCTCCGGGTGCACAGGGGGTGTCATTCCTTTCAACCTTTCAGCACGCAGCAGTCTAGTAATTGCTGATATTACTGCAGTTCTACCTGCAGCACAATTTGTTCTCTTATACAGCTGCCACTTCTCAAATGTGTATTTAAATATATCGGAATCCTCACCGGTGCTTGGACAATTTCTTGGTGGGTTGCGTCCTCTCATTAGGGAGGGCAGGATCTCACTGAAGTCCTAAATAATAACTTGGGCGTCGAAATATATTGTCAGAAGGAGTAGCTGTTGTAAACTCTCCTTTGGATGAAGATGTATCAATAGTTGCTGTTCGTATAGGACTTTCATTTAGAAGAAGGTTATTTAGCCTATGCAAGCACTGTGATCCCTTGGGCCAAAGTAATGAATTTCGCATACAGCATTTTTCCCATTGGAGTCTCCAGTGTGAAACACTTGTGCACATTCCTGTCCCGACAGTATACACGGGAGGCCTACGTCCCTCATTAGGCCTTTCCTTACTCTTTCGTATAGATAATGAGGATCTATACAGGAACCGAAAGTCGTAATAATGGTGAAACAAGTAGTCAGAGAACCGGACATATTTACATTAAAAATCTTCCTGGGGTGTTCTTGGGGGGTGAAACTGTGATATAACATTTATGAAATATGGTATGAAATCAGCTAGCATATCGCGTGAATGAACACATTAGATGTGAGTGTTATTATCGTGGTATCGTCTCTTAATATTATTCAAGAAGGTAGAGGATGTGTTTTATATATCTCGCATGGAGTCCGCGATGCTCAATGCTACTGTTCATAATGACTTAGATGTAGATATTCTGAAGTAGTAATTTCCCCTATATTACATTGTGTATTATACCGATCCGTTCGTTTTACATCACATTGTCATCCCTGATATATTCTGGGATAATTTATG